CACAGGGAAACAGAGAGGAACATAATAAATAACTGAAGGCAAACTGCAGACAAGTAAGTGTAAGTTGACCTTTTTCCTGTGTTTTTTTATATTTTTTATTTTTTTATTAACATATAATGTATTATTAGCCCCAGGGGTACAGGTCTGTGAATCGCCAGGTTTATACACTTCACAGCACTCACCACAGCATATACCCTCCCCAATGTCCTGTGTTTTAATATAGTGATAGCTTGCTCTATGCAGTAGTTATAGTCTTTAAATTAACGCATAAAACTGATCTTTGCTGATAAATCTAATCATGGTGTAAAGACTTCAAGAGAAATATTTGAAGAGATTATGTGTTTTTATTTTTTACAAAGCATTCTTTTCCTGTTTTTTGTTTTTTTAAAATCACTCCTTGTACTTTCTAGGTTTCCTGAAATGGAGGTGCACCTGCATGTATGTATAAGACTTTGTGCCTCATTCCATTACTAGTGCACATTTAATACTCTTGTCTCTTCTCATCACCGCAATGACTTTTAAAATCCAATTTTCATGGTTTTATTCAATCCTACTGAAACAAATGTTGCCTTTCTTTCTTTCTCTCTCTCTCTTTCTCTCTTTCAAGTAGGCTCCATGCCCAGCATAGAGCCCAGTGTGGGACTTGAACTCACGACCCCGATATCAAGACCTGAGCTGAGATCAAGAGTCGGATGCTTAACCAACAGAGCCACCCAGGTGCCCCACAAATATTGCATTTTGAGAGAAAAGTCTCTGAGTCTCATGAGTGTCCCACATGCTCTTTTTCTTCAGTCTTGGTCCTACCACTGTCATGAGAACTTGGGCGGTCATGGCACCTCCTGAGTGACATGGGGTGCACAAAAGAACTAAAGGGATAAATCTTCTATCATTGGTCTTTTAAGGCCATTTACAAATGTGTCTGATTTCTCATACGCCAAAGAGTAAATGTGGAATTTTGTTATTTTTCTTTCCTTGTTTCTGCAGGAAATTTGGAAATACGAAATCCTCAAATGTAATAACATCTATTATAGGTTACACATACTGGAATACAGCTTACCTCTGAAAGTACACATTGTGAGCTCTAAGAAGGATTTAGAATACGTGTTGATTTTTAAAATATATAGATTTTTATCTCAAAGGTAAATTTGCTATGCTTCTCTTCTCCCACTTTTTTACTGAGGGAACAAAATACAGTGCCTTCTGTGAAAAAGAAAGGAGGACTTCATATGCTCACGGTGGTGATGCTGTGGTCATGGCCCTGACCTTCCCACTCAGGACAAAGTGTCCTGCCCCAGTGACTCAAACTCTCCCTGGGAACCCAATCTCACACTCATCTTGTCATCTTCCCTAAGACTTCCATTATTATAACTATTTTCTGAGTGGTCTGTGGGAAGGAGCCTCAGACCTCAGTCAAGCCCTCTTCAGGGACAAAGATTTCCTCCCTCCTCTCTGCACTAAATATTTGACTATAAAGGAGATAAAAAAACGTTCCTGTGTAGTTGGAGCTAAACTGGGGACAGAGCTTCTAACATTGACACACAGGTAGTCATCATTGCGTTACAAAGGTGGGAAGGGCATTTTAATCAAATCTAGTTCAAACGTGTGCATGTACACACACCCACACCAATCCCCCCAACACCCCTCCCCCGCCACACACACACTCAAAAGTGATAAATGACTAGGGGAAAAAATAAAAATAAATTTTCATCAGATTTTAAAATACTCTGAAAAATATTAGCTGTGGATTCCTTTCTCACCTGAAGTACACATTATTAAAAAATATTAATAATAATAGTCTGCTCCCTAAAATGTAATGAAATTGTGGTTATTACATGTCACCTAACATACAGGAATGATAATTTAGTTTTCCTTTCTCTTGCCCCTCAATCGGGATAGCAAACAGTTCTGTGCAGAGCCCCAAGTTGTACTGATGCTATTTATTCTGACTCTGTGATCTCTTTCCTCCCCTCCCATTTCCACTCTGGCTTCAACTGATTTTCCCACATTTCTGTTCAAATTTGTACTGTAAATTAAAGGGAATACAAACCACATACTTCCAACTAGTTAAGGGTCAGAGATATTTTTCTAAGGAAGTGTTTATTTTTAGCTCTGATGTTATTACTTTTAATTTACACACACACACACACGCACATCCCACAGAGATCCATAATTTTACCTAGATGCATACATATAATTATATCATTGTGCTTGCTTTTTTTCTCTTTTCCTTACCAGCTTCCCCTTTCCTTTTGCCTCTCCTTCCCTTCTTTTGGCTACTCTCCCACCATGGAATGTCATCACCTGTGTGTGTGCTTCTTACTCTTTAATGCACTCACAGTGCTCGACAGACCTAGGCACAATCACACACACGTAGAGAAGATGATATGTGCTCGTCCATAGTCTGTTTCTTCACCACTACCTCACTCGAACTCATCTGACGTAGGTCTAATTCATTCTTGTTTTTAAACCAACAATCCATTATGTGACTATATCACAACATATTCTGCCATTCCACTACCGAGGGATGTTTACTTTTATGTCACTCTAACAATGCTGCAGTAAATAGTATCCATCTTTATAAACTAGACTTTAAATATCTTTGGTATCAATTTCCAAGAGTGGAGTTACTGAGTCAAAGGCATATGTCTTTTTAATATTAACAGATACTGCCAAACTGCTTTCTTAAAAGATTATGAAATTATACATTTATATCAGCAATGTATGTTTTTCTTAACATACATGCCAGCCACAGATTTTACAGGTTTTTTTCTAAATTTTTGCCTGTTGGATAAAAATGACTTTGCTTGGCTTTCCCAGTCTGCTGGAGAATTTGACTATGTTTTCATATGATTACAAGTTATTTGGACTTTTTATTTATTTTATTTTTTTTTATGTTTTTCTTAATTTGGACTTTTTACATTGTGAACTGTCTCTTCATATACTTTGCATATTTTTCTATTGCTTGTCTTCAGATTGTCAATTTGTAAGAGCTTTTTTTTTCTATGCTAACCTTTTATCACTGATGTATGTTGTGAATATTTTTCCAGCTCTACTATCATTGAATTCATATGTGATATTTTTGTCATATACTTATAGTTTGGTCATTTGTTCATATATATGATCATCTGTCATATTTTGGCATGTATAAGCCAAATATATATACATGTAAAATAATATATATAATTATACACATATAGTTAAATATATGTTAAATACAAGAATATGTTAAATGCATATATTTACATGTAACATATATATCTACATATACTAAAATACCAAGATGTAAAATACTAGTTACTTCAGCATCATTTAATTTATTAAAACAACAAACAAAAAAATCAAAAGCCCACATACTTTTCTTACTCCACAAAACTAAAGACTATATTCACTAGTCTTATATACTGACATCAATTTCTGGATTGTCTATTCTGTTCCACAGACACTTCTTATAGTATGTTCAATAGATGCTTCTGATAGAAAATGCTCTTTTTTTTGTATAATTTTCTTGATTTTTCCAAGTAATTACTCTTACAAATGAACTCTTATTTTATTTAAAAAAAATCCTCCATTGGGATTGCTATTGGAAATGCATTATATTTACATACTAATTTTGGGACACTTAAAAAAATTGAGATATCACATCCAAAAAATGCTTTTCTTTTCCAAGTTTTTTCACATCTTTTATGAAGATTTAATAGTTGCTTTATTTGTGTTTTGCATATTGTTTTTTAAATTTTATTTTTACATTTCATAGTTTTACTAACTCTGATATGTGGAATATTTTTCTTCTTATATCTATTTCTGGGTTCTCAATGCTAAAGGGAAAAGCTATTGACTTTATGTATTTATCTTCTATCTAGCCATCTCACAAAGTTTTATTAATATTGTGCTTTCGTCCTTGAATCTATTGGATCTTCTATATATACAACCATAGCATTAGCAAAATATATAATTTTATTTTTATCAGTATTTATAAGAGATATTTCTCTTAAATTGTTCATTTGTTAAAATCTTTGAAGATTACAAAAAAGGAATGTCAATAGCAGGTATCTCTCTCTAATTTCTCATTATATTAAATTAACTTTTTGCCACTTAGAATACCAAAAATTGTTGGTTTGGGGTAATTTTTACTGTAATTGAGATTTCTTTTACTTTTGTTTTATTTAAAGTCTTTAAGAGAAAACAGCTGCTGAATTTTGTCACACTCCTTTCAGTGAATATTGATCTGATTGCCTGATTTTTTCTTTTACTTTGTTTATATATAGGATTATATAGATAATTTTTCTGATATTGAGCCACCTTTGCTTTTTTGTGCATGTGTTTACTTGCTATATTTGTAAATTTCTAGGGAAATATTTACTAAAATGTGTCAAATAATAGTAGCTACAATTTAAAGAGTTCCAGGATCTAATTAATTTGGGAAACACCCAACCAGAGTTAAATGGTACTTCGCAGAACTGTTAAGTTAATGTGTATTGTAAACCTACAAAAGGAGATTAGAGTACAAAGTGTTTAGTGAGCTTTACTTGACTGTCTATCTTTCCTGAGTCATCCCCTGGGAGTAGATTAGAGCTGAACAAAGCTTGGGAAATGCTTATATGGAAATTGTACACTAAGAATTGAAAATAGTTTTAGCACATAAGACTGATGAAATCATGAGAGTAAAATCGATAAATTAAAAGCCACACTATAGGATGCGAAAACCATTTGGAGAAAAATAACTAACATTTTGTACCAATTATACTCACTTTTATTATACAAGATTTTTACCCGGCTAGGCTCAAATTATTAATGTTTGGCATTATACAGACCCATCTTAGAGCATAGGGTGGTCCTGGGGCTGGATGTAGCCCCAGCTCCAGCCAATTGTCAAAGTATAATTCTAGGAAGTAAACAGTTGCACTTGTATCCTTCTCTACTGTGTGGCCCATGGTATCATGACTATCCTAACATGATGATACAGATGGACTATCACAAAACAGCTTGTGCACGGCACTCACCAATGACATATTCCACTCTGAAGAGATCTCTTCTGGGGTCATATGGACGATTGAAGTCGATCTGGATGAAGAAAGACTGTCCTCTACGTACAATCAACTTGTTGTTTTCATACTTGTCAGTGTGGTGGTCTACTTTATTGGTGTCCCATCGCTCCTTGAACAGGTGAACACTGGTGACATGAAGGTAGTCTACACATAAAAAAAAAAAAATTGAGGGACACCACTGAATAACTTTGATACAACTGCAAACTCAAAAAACAAGATTGTTTTTCCAGATTCTTTAGGTATTGAGGTAATGAGGTCTGTTGGATAAAACTCTCTATTGGAGGCTGATAGATTTAAGAGTCCTTCTCTTGTGACATTCTTGCCTTCAAAGAGGATTTTAAAAGTTTTGTCCCCTCTGATCTCACTTCAGACAACAGGGCGCTCACTTGGGATAGACAGAGAAGTGCTGATGATGTCTCCCATATAGGTCTAGGTACAGAGAAACTCAATTCTTCACATTCCCAGAGCTCATGCTGGCTCAAGTCTTCACATTCCCAGGCTCATGCTGGCTTTCATCGTGACTATCACCTCACTATGTCACTAACTAGGAATAAGGACAGGATAGCCATTTCGATTTTCTTATCTTTAAAAAGGGAGGAATTAAATCTGACAAGGCCTCAAAAGGATGTTCCAAAGGTCCAAATTGACCTTTAGTTCAAAATTCTCCTCTTACTTCAGATAGGGTCAAATACCCTTCCTTCTACAATTCTAAAAGTAGATCTAGTCCTTCAAAGATAGGAAAGAAAAGAACAGATATGGAGACAGAGTACTGACATTTCGCTGAGGTAGATATAACTCTTCCCACTTTGAACATGAAGAAAAAAAGTTTCACATTTCCAACAATCTGGAAGTCAACCCTGGTCTGATACAAAATCTATAGGTCTTTCCTCTGGCCTTTTGGAATTGGGAGGATAAATGTCAGTTATACATTTATTTCAGCCATGATAACACTGGATAAAGGTTAGATCCCCTCCTACCTTTCTCCCATTCTTCTGCAAATGATCACTGAGTATGAAGATAACTTTATCCATCTACACTGTAGCTTGAAAATCTAGTCTAGAGATAGATTTCTGCATGCACACTTGGAGTTTTAAAGGGGGAATTAAGGAGAGAGTCTGGTGGGGGTACACTGGACTTCTGCTACCCTGATCCTGTCTGCTGCATGGTTTGCCTTCACAGTTATGAATACAGTGTACACAGAGAACAGCTGCTGAGCCTGCACTCATGCTGGAACATCTCCCTGAGAGACTCCAATGCCTTCATTTGTGGTTACACGGGAATCCTGTGCAGGACACTTGGTCCCATCTGACTTCATTTTTTTCTCATAGGAGAAACCAAGAAGTTGGGATCATTAAGATACTCTCTAGTACTAAAATCTAGGAGTTCCTGAAATGCTCTTGATTAATTCAAAGTCCAGGTAATCCTGAGTTTGAATCTCGGGTCTCTTAATTATATAGGTAAGGAATGTTGCCTCACAGAAGCTGAGTTTTCGCACCTTTCAAATGAGGAGACTAATACTTTGAGAATTTCTACAAAAATTCAATTACATAACAAGACAACTGCTCTGGCACGATGCCTGGCACATAGTGGGGCCCTAGGCTTACTTGTGGCTAGCTTAACTATAAACTCTGATGGAGCCATGGTCTATATTACATGATGTGGTGCTCAGTGGGCTATTCTGACTGCAACATTACCGCACACAGAAAGTACAAGATACAGTTTTATTTTTACCCCATTGCAGAACCCTGAACATGGTCCCCTAAAGGGCACTTTCCTTCCATTATGATGTGGATGGAAGATGTTTAATTCTCTAGACCTCTGTCTTCCAAGCTGACTTTCCCCTAAGTTCTTTGGCCTTATTAAGGTCACAATCCTAGTGTTAAGGCAGCTTCAGAAAGAGCTGGAGACTCATAAATGTCTTAGTTGAAAAGGACCCCAGTAATCAACTCATCTGGTCCTCTTTCTTAGCACTGTGCTTTCCAATAATGTTTTTATTTTGTTTAAATGTCTGAAAACCGAATCCTCAGAAATGAGTTTAATCAGGTCTCCATTAATCAGCACCAATGGAAGGAATACACTGATATTATAGCCTCATGGAATCTCTGAGGGCAAAGGCACTTTCTAGACCATCTGGTAGACCTGCTATGTACTGCATGAAACATCTTGAAAGCCCAAATGCTTAGGTTTTTTGTCTTCAACTGAACCGGAAACCCAGTATCTCACAAGCAAACAGTCCATTTTTAAACACTTTTAATTATTTGAAAAGCCCTCTTAAGATGAACTGACATCTGCTTCCTTGTAATTTTTCTAACCATGGATCCTGGTTCTGATTTCTGGGTAAAAATAGACTACATTCTATTCATTTCATCTGGCACTCCTTAGGTATATAAAGACTTCTATTCCTTTGACTAAAACACTTTCCATTTCCTCAACTGTTCTTTTCCAGAACTTTAACTCTCTACTCTTTTCTGGAACATATTTCATTTCATAAATTTCTTTCTTGTATTTTTTCTAGAATTAAGTACGTTATTCTAGCTACTATTTTTCCAATGAAAAAGAGAGACTGCTACACCTTTCAAAACAAATAGCATATTTCTATTATTTCAGTCAAAGGTATCACTAGTACTTTGAATTGTTTTATCTTATTTTTTGATTTACAGTAAGCATCTGTTAGACCAAAAACTTTAAAAATACTTTCTGATGTCATTTCTACCAGTAGTGCCTTATAATTCAATCCAGACTCCTAGAAGCCAGCCATATCTATACAAAAGTTTTCTTCTTTGTAGTTCAATTTTAAGGTTTTTCGTGTATTCATATTAAATTTTATCTTATTGAGTTTGGTTAATTGTTCCAAGCCCTTAATAAAATTTTAGACCCTAAGCATATATTCAATATATTTAATATTCTCCCTAATTTCCTGTCCTCCAGGAATTTTATGTGTGTCATTTTATGTTGCCATTCAAGGCATGGATATAAATGTTGATTAGGTCACTGCCCAGTAAATACAAGCCAGATAACTGCATGGTGGTAGGCTCTAAAAAGTGAACAGATAGTTATGACATAGCACCATAAATATTCTGATAAAGCAGTATGGGTATTGGGTGGAAGAGGGTATCTGGGAGGTATAGGGAGCCTGTAACTCAGATTGGGGGAGTGTAACTAAAGAAGATTTTTGGAAGAAGTGAGGTATATAAGCAATAATCAGAAAGATGAACAAGTTAGCCAGGGGGAGGGGAGCAAAGGCTTAGGCAACAGAGTGTCTGGTTTACTTAAGAAATTGAAAGATGATTGTTTGGCTGGATTGTAGAAGTGGGACCACAAAGGAGGAGTAGGCAGGAGCCACTCATGCAAGCCCTGTACACCATGTTAGGGGATTTGGACTTTAACTGCATTGGGGATACCATGAAAAATCTGAAATAGCAAACTGACATATCTTCATATATATATGTGTGTGTGTGTGTGTGTGTGTGTGTGTGTGTGTGTGTAAATTTCAAATGCTTCTGGTGAAAGAGTAAGAAAAGGAATGGATGGTGGCAGTGTTGGAGGCAAGAAGTTCAGCTAAGAGGCTGCTTCAGCATTCCAAGTGAGGGATGGGGTGAGTTTAGTCTGCCTGAAGGTATTGAATGCACTGGTCCTGGAGCGCTGCCAGGATTTGCCTTATCTCATCCCACCTCCACTCCCATGATAATGTCCCCCTGAAAATGAGTATATCAGTTTTATGCCTTGGCTTCCCAAGTATCTTTGACAAAGAGAAAAATAAAGCTGGAAAGAGAAAGACAAGTATTTTTTAGTATCTGGTTCTCATCGGTTTTATTCTTATTGCAAATGAAAACTCTGGCTTTCTAGTTCCATGGGCCTGTCCAGTGAACTTGGTTAATATCTAGTGAGTCCAGCTAAAGCCAGTCTATCTTCAAAGTAGTGTAATGTGGTGATACTTTGGTGGGATATTGATATGCACTGGAAGAATAAGAGTTCCATGGTTACTCTAATTTGGGAAAGGCTGGCTTAACCAAAGTCAGTCAGGATTCTTGAAGGATTTATGGGAGACCTTTAATGATGTAGACTATAAATTTCCTATAGGTCTCGTGTTTTCCAAATTTAAATGACCATGAAAACTATTTTTTGTGGCAATCAGTGTTTTGCAGCATATGTTCCAGGAGATGCTTCACTATTTACTAATTGTGCAACCTCAGGGAAGTTATTTAATCTCTCTTCAGTTTCCTTATCTTTAAAAAGACAATGAAACACTCACCTTACAGGGTTAGTGTAAGGATTAGATGAAAAAAATGAAAAAAAAAATGTACTAAAGTGCTTTAGTACAGTGTCTGGCACCTAGTAAATGCTCACAAATTATTTTTATTATATTAGCATTGTTACTATTAAGAGAAGAGATTATCATAGTGGATAAGAGTATGGATTTTACAGCCAGACTGCCTGGAGTCACATCCCAGCTCTGGCACCTACTATTGCTATGACTTTGCACAAGTTATGCAAATGTCCTGTCCCTCAGTTTTATCATTGCAAAATAGTGGTGGTGTTGGGATTAAATGAGAGACTGCTACATTCCTGGGGCACCTAGGTGGCTCAGTCAGTTAGGTGTCCAACTCTTGATTTTGGCTCAAGTCATAATCTCAGGATTGTGAGACTGAGTCCCACCTTGGGCTTTACACTCAGCATGGAGCCTGCTTGAGATTCTCTCTTCCCTCTCCCTCCACTCACTTCCTGTCCCCACTAGCGCATGCTCTCTCAGGAAAGAAAGAAAGAAAGAAAGAAAGAAAGAAAGAAAGAAAGAAAGAAAGAAAGAAA